TATATATATATATATATATATAAACACGAGAGTGAAGTTATACAACTTTAGAACACTTTCCAACCAGGAGACTCGAACCCTAGCCAGCACAGAAGCCTTCCAGCAACTGGCATAACATATATATATATATATATATATATATATATATATATATATATATATATATATATATATATATATATATATATATATATATATATATATATATATATATATATATATATATATATAGAGTTCCATTCGGAACTTTAAGATTAGGATACTTGAGCACCGGGGATTATCTTTTAGGACTGGATTACCATTGTCTAAACCAGCATTTTCGGAGATTAGAAACCATTGTTATGAGTTGGATCATTCTCTGCTGGAATCTGATTTTAAAATTCTGGACACTTGTCTGAATGGCCAGTCTGATTTGAGAGTAATGGAATCTTTATATATAAAGGAGCTGCGGCCTCTGTTAAATAGCAACCTTTCAGCTGTTCAATTGTACACTGTATAGTGCACAGCAGGCCCTGTAATTTGATTTATACATTTGGGGAGTTTAATTTTATTATAATTTTGTTTAGTTTACCATGTCTTTGCCCTTTCTTACTTATTTCAAGTCTTGACATTGTATATTAATATAATCTTTTATTTAGGATATATAATACATTTTTTGGTATTTAATTTTATTTAATATTTGAGTTTTTGATAAGATTTTGGTTAGTACTTTATAATTGTCGTTTATTCTGTTTGTATTTTACATACATTTTTTGTAGATTTGTAGTCATTATATAAATATTTGTTATAGTGTTTAGTATCTATGTGTTAGGTATCAAGTTTCACTTCTGATTACTTCACGTAAGTTTAATAGAATGGTTTGCTTTAGTAGTTATAAATTTCATTTTGTAGTTTAATGGACTTTTAAATTAGCTTTAATATATGTGACAGTTAATAAGTTTTATTTGTATTGATCACTTTAAGTGCGCTTCAGTGTTTTGTTTTTTAAGCATTTTTTTTTCTTTGATAGGCAATTATATTCAGTATTAGTTCTTTGTTTACCAGTTATTTGATTGTGATTTCTGTTTTTTCTTTTAGATCTGATGATGAATACGAGAAGTATTCAAAACGTTATGCATTTTAAAGTAAAGAATCTGAAACAAGTATATCCCTGGTTTTCCTATTTATCTTAAAATTAAGATTCCCGAAGGGAACATCGATCAAAAAAAAAAAATATATATATATATATATATATATATATATATATATATATATATATATATATATATATATATATGTCGTACCTAGTAGCCAGAACGCACTTCTCGGCCTACTATGCAAGGCCCGATTTGCCTAATAAGCCAAGTTTTCCTGAATTAATATATTTTCTCTAGTTTTTTCTTATGTAATGATAAAGCTACCCATTTCATTATGTATGAGGTCAATATTTTTTTATTGGAGTTAAAATTAACGCAGATATATGACCGAACTTAACCAACCCTACCTAATCTAACCTAACCTATCTTTATAAGTTAGGTTAGGTTAGGTAGCAGAAAAAGTTAGATTAGGTTAGGTTAGGTAGTCGAAAAAACATTAATTCATGAAAACTTGGCTTATTAGGCAAATCGGGCCTTGCATAGTAGGCTGAGAAGTGCGTTCTGGCTACTAGGTACGACATATATATATATATATATATATATATATATATATATATATATATATATATATAAATATATATAAATATATAAATATATATATATAAATATATATATATAAATATATATATAAATATATATATATATAAATATATATATATATATATATATATATATATATATATATATATATATATATATATATATATATATATATATATATATATATATATATATGTATATATATATATATATATATATTTATATATGTCGTACCTAATAGCCAGAACGCCCTTCTCAGCCTACTATTCAAGGCCCGATTTGCCTAATAAGCCAAGTTTTCATGAATTAATGTTTTTTCGTCTACCTAACCTACCTAACCTAACCTAACCTAACCTAGCTTTTTTTGGCTACCTAACCTAACCTTACCTATAAATATAGGTTAGGTTAGGTTAGGTAGGGTTGGTTAGGTTCGGGCACATATCTACGTTAATTTTAACTCCAATAAAAAAAATTGACCTCATACATAGAGAAAAGGGTTGCTTTATCATTTCATAAGAAAAAAATTATAGTAAATATATTAATTCAGGAAAACTTGGCTTATTAGGCAAATCGGGCCTTGAATAGTAGGCTGAGAAGTGAGTTCTGGCTACTAGGTACGACATATATATATATATTTATATATATATATTTATATATATATATATATATATATATATATATATATATATATATATATATATATATATATATATATATATATATGTCGTACCTAGTAGCCAGAACGCACTTCTCAGCCTACTATGCAAGGCCCGATTTGCCTAATAAGCCAACTTTTCATGAATTATTTGTTTTTCGACGACCTAACCTACCTAACCTAACCTAACTTTTTTGGCTACCTAACCTAACCTAACCTATAAAGATAGGTTAGGTTAGGTAGGGTTGGTTAGGTTCGGTCATATATCTACGTTAATTTTAACTCCAATAAAAAAAATTGACCTCATACATAATGAAATGGGTAGCTTTATCATTTCATAAAAAAAATTAGAGAAAACATATTAATTCAGGAAAACTTGGCTTATTAGGCAAATCGGGCCTTGCATAATAGTCCAAAAAGTGCGTTCTGGCTACTAGGTACGACATTATATATATATATATATATATATATATATATATATATATATATATATATATATATATATATATATATATGCAACAATGATCACAAAAACACATGCAGAATAACCAGCAGTGAAAAATAGAAAATGCTTAACACGTTTTCGGCTAATTCGCCTTCATCAGAGCAAAGTAGAATGAAGATCTTCATTCTTCAATCATTCTACTTTGCTCTGATGAAGGCGAATTAGCCGAAAACACGTTAAGCATTTTCTATTTTTCACATTTGGTTATTCTGCATACTTGGATCAGTGTTTTTGTGATCATTGTTGCATATATATATATATATATATATATATATATATATATATATATATATATATATATATATATATATATATATATGAATGAAAACTCACACCCCAGAAGTGACTCGAACCCATACTCCCAGAAGCAACGCAACTGGTAACTACAGGGCGCCTTAATCCGCTTGACCATCACGGCCGTCAAAAGGAAGTGATAGCCGAGGCTATTTGAGCCACTTCCCCGACGGCAACTCGGATGGTAATCTTGGGCATAGCATTTCACCAAATCACCTCATTCTTTGGGGCACACGTGAGGAACACAAATGCGAACAAGCCTGAATGGTCCCCAGGACTATATGCGAATGAAAACTCACACCCCAGAAGTGACTCGAACCCATACTCCCAGAAGCAACGCAACTGGTAACTACAGGGCGCCTTAATCCGCTTGACCATCACGGCCGTCAAAAGGAAGTGATAGCCGAGGCTATTTGAGCCACTTCCCCGACGGCAACTCGGATGGTAATCTTGGGCATAGCATTTCACCAAATCACCTCATTCTTTGGGGCACACGTGAGGAACACAAATGCGAACAAGCCTGAATGGTCCCCAGGACTATATGCGAATGAAAACTCACACCCCAGAAGTGACTCGAACCCATACTCCCAGAAGCAACGCAACTGGTAACTACAGGGCGCCTTAATCCGCTTGACCATCACGGCCGTCAAAAGGAAGTGATAGCCGAGGCTATTTGAGCCACTTCCCCGACGGCAGAACCATTCGGACCATTCAGGCTTGTTCGCATATATATATATATATATATATATATATATATATATATATATATATATATATATGCGAACAAGCCTGAATGGTCCCCAGGACTATATGCGACTTTTGTTCCTCACTTGTGCCCCAAAGAATGAGGTGATATGATAAAATGCTATGCCCAAGATTACCATCCGAGTTGCCGGCGGGGAAGTGGTTCAAATAGCTTCGACTATCACTTCCTTTTGTCCGGCCGTGATGGTCAAGCGGATTAAGTCGTCCTGTAGTTACCAGTTGTGTTGCACCTGGTAGTATGGGTTCGAGTCACTTCTGGGGTGTGAGTTTTCAGTCATATATATATATATATATATATATATATATATATATATATATATATATATATATATATATATATATATATATATATATATATATATATATATATATATATATATATATATATATATATATATATATATATATATATATATATATATATATATATATATATATATATATATATATATATATATATATATATATATATATATATATATATTATATATAATCAATTTCTAATATTAATAATCCGCAGGAGACAAACATCCTGTCAAGACAGCTAGATATATGGTGGCTCTCAGGAAAATTTTGTCATTATTCCCTAGTATTTTATACATTAAGAAGGGATCAAGCATAAACTTTATAATTTGTGATCTGAATGATCAGTTAATTGCCATATGTGTAGGTCTCTAATTCAAACAAAATCTTCATTTAATTTTATTCAAACAAAATTTTACAGCCGTAGCAACTAATAAAGTTTAAGAAAATTAATTTGGATGTAGATATTTAACTGACTGAACAATTCAAGAGAACCATGGAGAATTTTCAGTTTGGGAACATTTTAGTTCTCACGCCAGGTTAACAATCAATAATGAACACTTTGATTTCAACAGTTTCATGAAAGATAGTGAATAACAATAAACAAATTTTAATTATACCATATAACCTCATTAATGTAACAGGTGTCCTAATATTTTACTAGTGAGGTTGTGTGGAATTATATGAATTTTGTTTTATCCATTATTCCTACTCAGGATATAGACTAGTACATCTGGCGAGATTTTATATGAAAGACAAAATTTGCCCTTAAAGATGCATGAAGAAATAAATACCATTGTTGTGATTTATCAAAATATGAATTTTATTTTCAAAATTTCACCAGATGTACTTTCTTACGTGCTGACTACAATATTAAAAATCTGTAAACTAATAATTTAACAGTATAATACTACAGTCCTGCATAAAAAACCGTTTCTTTTATAACCATAATATATGGATGTATCTCCCAGAGATCATTCACTAGATGTACTAGTGTAAGAATATTTGTAATACATCAGGTTATTTTGTGTTTCACATTGTATAAGTAGTAATTTTCTGTAATCACTTTCAATTTTTATAATGCTTTACAAGACCTTAGTATGCTGGTCTGATCTTCATCTCGGTTCTCTTGAGGGAGTAGTGATGACCTCGAAAAGGATACCAGTTGACACCGTCGGCATAACAGGTGTGGTTACCTTTGTGATATTTGCCATTTAGGTTTGACGAATGACAGCTCGTGTACCACCAAGCGCCCAAGTGACTGAAATCAAATTATCACCTGTTATGATCTCAGCCGGCAGGAGAAACGAGTCTCCCTCCTTGAGAGTTATTCATCAAGCCTGACCTGATTAGAAGGTCTAGCAAATTTTGAGGTGATAACGCATATGTAAAATAGTTGCTTGGATATGTATAACAGTTTGAGATTATGGGCAATGAAGAAGAAAACAGATAAATGACTGGCGAGGAGATGTGGACATTTTGCTGGAGGCGTGAGGCTCGCTTCCGGAGGACCTTGACCTCGCTTGAGTGCCAGACATCGCAGGGGGAAGCCGCGCTCCGTTTGAGCTCCCGTCAGAAGGGAACCCCTAGTGATATATCTCGAAGAGAAAAGAAGTGTGTAGACGTGCCAGCTGTGGAACCGAGCTGGGAACGTTGTGGTCTCAAGTCTTGGTCGACGAGCAGAGTTCAATAAGCTGCTCAGAGGCATTTTCGTGGGCTGTGTGGAGCGCCCTGACCAGACGCCATCAGAGGGAAAGCGCCCTCGACCTTATAATCTGTGGTAAGCACGATATACGCCAGTTCATAGTGATTGCTTGTAGTTGGTCGTGTGCCCAGCGACAGTAGCGATGTTTATTTATAAGTTAGACATGTTTTAATAAGGCAGAAAGCCTGAAATAGGAGAGTGAAGAGGGAGGAGCGCGGAGCGGCGTCCGTCCCCTCTGAGCTCTGACCGGCGACTGAGGGAGCCCGGCTCCTGACGGAGGAAGACCCTCCCAGCGAGTGAGGACCGCTGCCAGGCCAGGTGGAGTATGGACCCGCCCAAAACGGGGGAGTCCACTCTCACTGTATGTAGAGGACAGATAGAGGTTGGAGACAAACATATTGTGTGAATTTTTGTTTATGTGTTGAAGGGGAAACATTTTATTGGAGTGTCGATGGGTTGCAGGTTTGTCTTTGGGGAAGAAGTTGCTGAGAACTTCGAAGCCAGCATAGATGAAGTACTTGATGAGACTCCAAGGTAGTGAAGCAGAGGACCTCGAGCTGTGAGGAGAAGCAGTGAAGATGAGTGTCACATGCTTCTGTAGAGGTGGTGAAGCACCATAGTTGCACGAGGAAACTTCATGGTGTAGCAGCCAAGAGAGCTGTGGAGGAACCTAGCAGAAGGGTGAAGCACCGTAGTTGCTCAAGGAAACTTCATGATAGCAGCCTGGAGGAGCTGCAGAGGATCCTGGTAGTGAAGCCCGGAAGAACCTGAAGATATCAGGGTAGTGAACTGCCAGAGGTGGAAGGGGAAGTTCTGGTGGATTACTTGTAGGGAGTTGATAGTGTTTGGTTGTCAGTGGCGTGCAAGACACAGTGAGAGGTGAGTGATTGTTGGTATTCTGATGTCAAGGAGTGTTTTACACTGAAGTTTAGAGTTACAGTCGTAGGCTTGATTACCTACAGATGTATGCGTTCTAGGACTGATATTGATCGATTAATCATTGTTGTGTATCAATGAACATTTATACTGATATATGTTATTGCATTCAAATGCTGATTTTCTATATATATATTATCTTGCTGATGGTGCAACAGTGTATGTAGACTTGATCAACTTGAGGTGGTTGATAGTATCAGGTGGTGAACCAGGAGATAGGATACCACTTGATAAGCTGATGGTAGAGTTCTGATGGTGTTGGAGAGCAACCTGATTGTGATATTATAGAGTATAGGATTCATTATTATTATATGTGTGTATGTATCGTGTATGTGCTTTGTCCAGTAAATGTATCCCAATTTGCTGGTGTTTGCCCTTGTCCTAGTGAGGCTTCCCAGGAGGTAGTAAAGAAGGAGAGAGAGAGAGAGAAAGAACCAAGAACCACTGCCGTGGGCAGGGTAGGAGGTAATACTAGTAAGTCATAGGGGATTGAGTAGATCATATCTCATAAGGAGAGAGTGGGGAGTCACAGCGGCTCGAGTGGGTGTGTGCACGTGACAACGAGGCTAAGTGTTGGAGCCGCATCCCCTAAACGTGTGACGCTAAGCCCCTCTCCAAGAGCCAGAAGTGCCAAGGGTGATCTCCTAGTATAAACACTCTACCGAGTTGTGGGTTGGGTTGTCCGTAGAGAAGGATCAACGACGGCAACACCAACCAACCCACAGTCTATAATAATAAATTGGGGGCCTGTGTCCGGGAAAGTGAACTGACACACCCACACCCTGTCCAAGAGTGGATTTGTACACCCTTGCTGAAATAGATAGACTGTGTGACCGCAGGTGTATACTCTCTCTCTTGGGAAGACTCACAGGACAAGATGGAGAAGGTGCAAGCGTTTGTGGAGTCAGGCAAGCCTGAGGACTTGGAAGGTTGCACGAGGGATCAATTGAAGCAAATAGCAGAAAAATGTGGCATTAGGTTGAAAGCATCTAAAGTAGCTGGGATGAAGGATGAGATCCTGAGACAGTTAAGAGCCAAAAATGAAGCGGCAGAACAAGGAGCCCAAAAAGGAGCTGAAAGTGGAAAAGAGGATGATGGGCAGGATGAAGTGAGATCCCAAGGATCGAGTAGGAGCAGCAAGAGTAGCCGCAGTAGCAGGAGTAGCCGAAATAGGAGCTTGGAGAGATTCCAGTTAGAGCTCCAGATGCAGCGTGAGGAGAGACAGTTCCAGCTGGAAAAGATGAAATTAGAACTCCAGATGAAAAATGAAGCCGAGAAGGAAAAAGAGAAAACCAGACTGGAAGTAGAAAAAGAGAAAACCAGACTGGAAGTAGAAAAAGAGAAAACCAGACTGGAAGTAGAAAAAGAGAAAACCAGACTGGAAGTAGAAAAAGAGAAAACCAAACTGGAAGTAGAAAAAGAGAAAACCAGAATAAGGGAACTGGAGTTGGAACAAGAGAAAGAAAAAGAGAAAGCAAGACTAGAGGTCGAAAAAGAAAAAGCCCAGGTCGAAAAAGAAAAAGAGAGAACAAAACAAATGCAGATAGAAGCGAATAGAACCTTGGCTGAGCAAAGGATTGAACATGGGTTGCCAGAGAGCACCACCCAGGTATCACACCCACCAGATGTTAGGGTTAGGGAGAAGGACATTCCCTTGTTTGTTCCCGAAGAGGCGGAGAGCTTCTTCGAGCATTTTGAAAAAGTAGCCAGCATCAAGGAGTGGCCACAGGAGGAATGGGCCCAGCTGGTCCAGTTAAGATTGACCGGTGCAGCCAGGGAGGCATACACCCAATTGTCACTGGAAGAGTGCCAGGATTATGCCACAGTAAAGAGCAGCATATTGCGCTCGTTTCAGTTAACCTCAGAGGCTTATAGGAAGCGCTTCAGAGAAATGATCAAAGTTGGAGCATGTACGTTTGCTGAGACAGCAAGGGATCTGGAAAGACGATTCCAGAAGTGGATTGAGGCTGCTGGAGTTGGATCTTACGCTGACCTGAAGCAACTGATGGTCATGGAGAAGTTCTTGGAGATGATACATCCCGAAACAAAGTTCAAGATCCAAGAAGCAGGGATAAAGGAGGTGAAAGATGCCGCAGATAGGGCAGATATGATTACTGAAGCGTACAAGAGCTTAAGGGAGAACAGAGTAAGAAGCGAGGCGAGACGCAGCAATGGCAGACCCAGTGGAGTCTGGGGAGGAAGAAATTATGAGAGACCCAGAGGAGTCTGGGGTGAGAAGAATTTTGATAAATGGGCAGATAAAAGTAAGTACCCAAAAACTCAGAAGAGTAGGTCGCGCACTTCGTCTGAAAGTGAGGATGGAGGAGCTAAACGAGAAGCTAATCGTTATCTAGGGAATCAAGAGTCCAATAAAGCTCCACAGAGTACGAGTAGTACGTCTGGCCCGAGGAACTCCAATACGAGTGGGCAGAGTCAGAGCTACTCGGGTACATATAGGAGAGATTTTTCACAGATGAGATGTTACAGTTGTAACGGATTGGGTCACGTGATGCGAGATTGTAGACAGGGCAAGAGAGTTGTGACCCTGGCCATGTGTGACCCCCGAAGTAAATATGCCAATGTGTTCCAAGACAAACCACAGAGATCAAACTTAGTGAACGAGAGGTATAGGCCGTTCATGAGCAAAGGTTGGATCAGTATAAGAGGCCAACCTGAGGTAGAAGTTGGTATCTTAAGAGATACCGGAGCTAATCAGAGCTTGATTACGAGAAGCCTGATTGGGAATGATCGACGATTAGCTGGCAGGAGTAAGATGAAGGTATATGGGTTATTGTCTGAGAGTGACATGCCCGTATGCACTGTCCTGCTAAGGTCGGAATATGTGTCGGCGGAGGTGATGTTGGGAGTGTGCCCCGACATACCTATTCCAGGAGTCCAAGTGATCCTGGGAAATGACTTGTGCGGGACAAAGGTGTTGCCAAGAGTCATGGCGGAGACTGTGCCAGAGGAGTGCCCAGAAGGCCTCGGCACGGGTGGGACACCTGAGAGTGTGAACCTGACGGACATCCGAGGGGATGAGTCAGGAGACCGCCAAGCCATTGAGTACCCTGTCTCGGTAGTGACGAAGGCAGAGGTGGCCGACGAGGAAGACACTGGAGAAGGTGAGACAGTGTCGATTCAGCCGGTGGAAGATATCGACGTAGACATAGCGTGGCTGTTTGATGAAGGTCCAGCCCAGGAAAATGGAGTCTCGGTGAGGTCGAAAGTGAAGATGGCCCAGCCGAAGAAGAATCATGTGAAGAGAGCGGACCTGAGTAAAGCCCAGACTGCTGAAACTAAGAGTCGGAAGGTGAATGCAACTGTGCTGAGTAGGAATGAGGAAGGATGTGGACATACTGAGGGCGGGAGTAGAGCGTCAAGTTGTCCACGAGCACAGAGGCATCTGGATAGTAGAGTTAAGTTGTTTGAGATGTCAGGAGTTGACATGTTTCACAGAAAACGTGGAGGAGAGATAGTGAAGAAGAGTAATAGCCGGGAAAATGAGAGGAGTAGAGACAGTATGTGTGGAGAGATGCTTACGAGCACTTTGGGAGAGGCAAAGCGACATGTACGGTCGAGTGCTGTTGGATGTAGTACAGTGCTCGAAGAAACTTTTAGGGAACGAAGAGGAGTTGAAGGAGGAGAAATGGAGTTGTATAGAGGTGAGAGGTGTGAGAAGAGGATGATGATACAAGCATGGAGGAGTAGAAGAAAGCCGAGGACTCGATGGAGGTCAAACAGGATGAGGTCTCGGATGAATGAGGAGACGAAAGGGAGGATCGTCGGTGAAGACGAGGGAGCGAAGTAAATGATGACAGGAGACGAAAGTATAATGGCAGTAGATGGAAGTGTGAAGACGACAGAGGAGGTACAGACAGCAGATGTCTGACTCTGGACGTGAAGAGAAGAAGACGAGGAAACGGAGGGTGGAGACAATAAGTAGAGTGGACCGAGGGAATGCAGGTGTCCTAGGAGGACAGCCTAGCCAAGAGGTGTCAGAGAGGTCAAATCGTTTATGAGAAGATCATGTTCTGGAGAGAGGTGAGCCAGATGTTGCAAGGAGCAACGAACTAGTTGTAGACTCCTACGGGAGTATGTAAACAGACTAACCGGTCGAACCAATCGGTTGAAGAACGAGACAGTGTAGTGGCGGATGTATTATCCCGAGCTTTGCCACTGGAATAACTCTCAAAAATAAGGGGAGGGGAGTGTTATGATCTCAGCCGGCAGGAGAAACGAGTCTCCCTCCTTGAGAGTTATTCATCAAACCTGACCTGATTAGAAGGTCTAGCAAATATTGAGGTGATAACGCATATGTAAAATAGTTGCTTGGATATGTATAACAGTTTGAGATTATGGGCAATGAAGAAGAAAACAGATAAATGACTGGCGAGGAGATGTGGACATTTTGCTGGAGGCGTGAGGCTCGCTTCCGGAGGACCTTGACCTCGCTTGAGTGCCAGACATCGCAGGGGGAAGCCGCGCTCCGTTTGAGCTCCCGTCAGAAGGGAACCCCTAGTGATATATCTCGAAGAGAAGAGAAGTGTGTAGACGTGCCAGCTGTGGAACCGAGCTGGGAACGTTGTGGTCTCAAGTCTTGGTCGACGAGCAGAGTTCAATAAGCTGCTCAGAGGCATTTTCGTGGGCTGTGTGGAGCGCCCTGACCAGACGCTGTCAGAGGGAAAGCGCCCTCGACCTTATAATCTGTGGTAAGCACGATATACGCCAGTTCATAGTGATTGCTTGTAGTTGGTCGTGTGCCCAGCGACAGTAGCGATGTTTATTTATAAGTTAGACATGTTTTAATAAGGCAGAAAGCCTGAAATAGGAGAGTGAAGAGGGAGGAGCGCGGAGCGGCGTCCGTCCCCTCTGAGCTCTGACTGGCGACTGAGGGAGCCCGGCTCCTGACGGAGGAAGACCCTCCCAGCGAGTGATGACCGCCGCCAGGCGAGGTGGAGTATGGACCCACCCAAAACGGGGGAGTCCACTCTCAATGTATCTAGAGGACAGATAGAGGTTGGAGACAAACATATTGTGTGAATTTTTGTTTATGTGTTGAAGGGGAAACATTTTATTGGAGTGTCGATGGGTTGCAGGTTTGTCTTTGGGGAAGAAGTTGCTGAGAACTTCGAAGCCAGCATAGATGAAGTAATTGATGAGACTCCAAGGTAGTGAAGCAGAGGACCTCGAGCTGTGAGGAGAAGCAGTGAAGATGAGTGTCACATGCTTCTGTAGAGGTGGTGAAGCACCATAGTTGCACGAGGAAACTTCATGGTGTAGCAGCCAAGAGAGCTGTGGAGGAACCTAGCAGAAGGGTGAAGCACCGTAGTTGCTCAAGGAAACTTCATGATAGCAGCCTGGAGGAGCTGCAGAGGATCCTGGTAGTGAAGCCCGGAAGAACCTGAAGATATCAGGGTAGTGAACTGCCAGAGGTGGAAGGGGAAGTTCTGGTGGATTACTTGTAGGGAGTTGATAGTGTTTGGTTGTCAGTGGCGTGCAAGACGCAGTGAGAGGTGAGTGATTGTTGGTATTCTGATGTCAAGGAGTGTTTTACACTGAAGTTTAGAGTTACAGTCGTAGGCTTGATTACCTACAGATGTATGCGTTCTAGGACTGATATTGATCGATTAATCATTGTTGTGTATCAATGAACATTTATACTGATATATGTTATTGCATTCAAATGCTGATTTTCTATATATATATTATCTTGCTGATGGTGCAACAGTGTATGTAGACTTGATCAACTTGAGGTGGTTGATAGTATCAGGTGGTGAACCAGGAGATAGGATACCACTTGATAAGCTGATGATAGAGTTCTGATGGTGTTGGAGAGCAACCTGATTGTGATATTATAGAGTATAGGATTCATTATTATTATATGTGTGTATGTATCGTGTATGTGCTTTGTCCAGTAAATGTATCCCAATTTGCTGGTGTTTGCCCTTGTCCTAGTGAGGCTTCCCAGGAGGTAGTAAAGAAGGAGAGAGAGAGAGAAAGAACCAAGAACCACTGCCGTGGGCAGGGTAGGAGGTAATACTAGTAAGTCATAGGGGATTGAGGAGATCATATCTCATAAGGAGAGAGTGGGGAGTCACAGCGGCTCGAGTGGGTGTGTGCACGTGACAACGAGGCTAAGTGTTGGAGCCGCATCCCCTAAACGTGTGACGCTGAACCCCTCTCCAAGAGCCAGAAGTGCCAAGGGTTATCTCCTAGTATAAACACTCTACCGAGTTGTCGGTTGGGTTGTCCGTAGAGAAGGATCAACGACGACAACACCAACCAACCCACAGTCTATAATACATCTTAACAACATTCCATTATATCAACATACAAACATTATGCTTGTACAAGAATGTAAGAACAATATATTTTACGGATATTTTGTATGGAACATTCATTATTTAAACAAATTTTCTGTTCTTATATTACAGTAAGAAGTTTAATACCAAGTACTGCAATGTTATTGGAGTTTGTAAGGCAACATTTCTGAGATAATTATTTTGAGAGGGATTAGTCGTTTTCATTATTTACTTAGAGGATAAAGTAGTAATTAAACTAACTGCATATTAATTTTACATTTATATATACTTTAGATTGAACTTTGTGTTATAGACAGTTTTCATGATCATCATCAATGGTGAAACTTAGATCATGGTGTGTAGAAATGTGATGAACACTGCTGAGGAGTTTATTACTTTCAATGTGTGAAGTTCCGTTAAATGTTGCATAAAGTGTCTTTGTAGGAAGTAGTTCATATGTGCACGTTAAATATACAACCAGTAATTAGTTATTTGTGTGTGTGTGAAAAGTCATCTTTGTTATTCAACATATACACAGACAGGATGATTAGTGAGGTCAAGGTAAGACTCAAGAAGGGGGTTATGAACTTAGTTTATAGAACAAACACAAGTAATGTATGGTATCCAGAGAATAATATACATAACACATGCAGACAAGTCAGTATTTTTACCAGTTAGAGGTTCATGTAGCTACTCTTTCACTCGCACTATGTCTGTTCATCTTTTCAATCTACTCTATCCTTTCTTCACTAGTCTGTCAATTGTTTCATGACTATGGTCAAACCATCTCGATAAAGTATATAGTACAGTATACTCGATCTGGTGATGTACAAACTTTTGGACACTGAATCTTTCCATTAAAATTGAATCACTTGCCCAGTCTATTCTCCAAACAACACGTGCATCTCTATTTTTAATTTCTACTGGTCCAGTTATTTGTTTATGTTCTTTCCACATATATGGTTGTTTAAAGTACAGCCATTAATTTATGGTTGTACACTTGCTCAGTCCAGCTAGAGTCGCAAATTTGTATACATTTGTTATAATCAAAATATCACCATAATAAAGTCCTAACAGGTGAAATTTAATTTTCCATAAAGCATAATCTAAATTTGGTGTTATGTATATACTTTGTGAACTTGCAACGTAACACTAGTCCTTTAATTCGGATATATAATGTTAAAGTGTGTATGAGTATTTTTTTCCAAAATGTATTTGGAACAGAAGGCACCCTCATGTCCACTAAATGATACCCATGTTTAGGTCACAGATTGTGCTATAATTTAAAATTGCACCACGTTTTACCTGATGTTGTGTAACCTCATTTACAGCTGTGCTTTAAATTTTATAACAAAATTCTAAATATAGAGCTTTGGAGCCTTAAGAGTTCGTGGAGAATTATGAATTCTTCTTTGCAAATATTGCATTCTCAAAATATATTAATGATAAAACATGAAGGAATGTTGGTTAACACCTGAACATATTAACCACTTCCAGTTTCTCTTCATTCAAATACAAGCACACAGATGTACAATATTTTAGTGATCTTACCTTACAGCACAGTTTCCTCCAAAAGTGTCAAGATCCTTATCCTTGGTAGTGAATCTCTGGCCATTGACAAAGCTGAAGCCATCACCAGCATCTCCAGTATACCCATTAACCTCAACTTTATAAGAGGCACTCCTGTCATGGACATAAAAGAATTGGTACTGTGCCCATCGGATGGCATTGTCAAAGTCTGCCAGGTCAAAGTGTATTTGGTTGAGTGTCTGCTCAGTGAGGGCGTGAATGTGGTCGAGTCCAAGCCAAAACTCGCCAGAGAGATTACCAAAGCCCAAGGCGTATTCCATCCATGTGCGGTAGAATTCTTCCCGCGGGAGTATATCTTCTCGACGCTGAATTACAGTCCATCCTCCTCCATTAGAGTCCATATCACAATAGACACGAACAGGACGTTTTGGGCAGCAGTCGTACGGATAGATGGTGTAAACACTACTGGTCTTGTGGCCGTGATCTTGCAGTTCACGGCAATTACGATTTTGGAAGCCAAGCCCTAGCCACAAAGGCTCTGTCAGGTACGAATTAACAATGGTGTCCTCTGCCGCCACCACCACAAACATACTCCATGTACCCACTAACACCAGCATCCACAGTGGCTTGCCCATCATCCACTAGATAAACCTGAAATATATGAGATTAATAAATACTTATTTTTAAAAGTCATCAAGTATAGTTCCTCTATTATACTTTATGTGTTACCTGACATTGTTCAGGCAACGGAGGTCAACTGGGTCGACTTAGTGCTTTAATCAATCTAGCATGAAGGCTGACACTAAATAACTTCTGACTCACCAGTCCGGAGATCTAGGAACTTGGCCAGCCACCTGCCAACAATTTCACTGAGGGGAGCCACAATGGGACTCACCCCAACCTGACCATGTTGGGCACACAACCTACAGCAATCACTGTGCGAAGTTGGATCAGGGTAGTCTCCAAACATCAGGCTTCAGACTCCGTAGTATAGGTATAGGCAAGGCAACATACATTGCTTTCATATCCTAGACCAGTGATGCAAGTAAATTTTGTGAGATCTTTCCAGAGCACTTAAGAGACTATTGAGATTCAGATCCTAAATTCACCGAAGGAGTCAGCCAATGGGATACTCTTGCAGGCTCTACACGCCAACTCCAGATGACTGCAATAGGCCCATAATGGAGAACATTGCACCAGCAATGCTGAAGGCAGCTTCTGGAAAGAATACAGCATTCCTAACTGTGCAAGCCCCTCATGTTGGGGACTTCCTGTTGGCTATCCCTAATTCCACCTTTGGCACCCATCTGGGCCATCTGGCCTTATTTATTGGTGTTGCTCTGATCTTTGCCATCCCTATCTCCACCGATTACTGGCGTATCTGCAACTATTCATTAACAGACCAATGTGGCAACCATATCTTGAGTTATCTTGAGTTATCTTGAGATGATTTCGGGGCTTTAGTGTCCCCGCGGCCCGGTCCTCGACCAGGCCTCCACCCCCAGGAAGCAGCCCGTGACAGCTGACTAACACCCAGGTACCTATTTTACTGCTAGGTAACAGGGGCATAGGGTGAAAGAAACTCTGCCCATTGTTTCTCGCCGGCGCCCGGGATCGACCCCGGGACCACAGGATCACAAGTACAGCGTGCTGTCCGCTCGGCCGACCGGCTCCCATGGTCACATATGTAACAATTCAGGAAGATTGCCAAACATAAAACAGTCAATGACATTACTAAGGTTGACTACAGCCAAGTGTCCAGCACAAAGGGAACCTCAAATTTGTAGACCTAACAACAGCCACAAGTGCCCAAATGAAGCTACCCTGCAACCTTGGAGGGATGACAAATAGGTTGTGTGGGACTTCATGTGTGCATCTATATTGGCTAATACCAAACTATGGCACATTTAAACTGAAGGTGGTGGGGCTGCCACCTTCAGAGAGACTAAGAAAATCATTAAGTATGTGAACTTGAGTTTAGGACTGCCGTGGGTGAACTGATTCCTGTCGCCCAAGAAACCACCCACATCACTTCTGCGGACTAAAATGTGATTAGTAAGACAGAACCGCCGTTTGGAAAGGCAGAGTCAAAGAACTAGCAGCTGAATCCATCAAGCACAAATAGATGAATACAAATAGGGTTATTGCACACTACTCAAACACCAGTAAACTATTTTAAGTGAAGGTTTCAACTATTTTAAATAAAGGTATTGTTGTAATGTATACCTTGTCATGGTTGGGACCCAAACCTTATTGTCTCCTTCCACTCTGTACATAGCTTAGTAAAACAGAAACTAAATAGGGATCAAATATGATACAGCTTTCCACCGGGGAAACAAAAAATGGGCCGGGTGCGCTCAACAGATGGCGTTGACATCGTCACACCTCCCTTCCAAAAAGAATTAAAGTCGAGTGTTAAAATGGGCGGGTTTCACTCGGTCAGGGGTGGTGTAACAATTAATATCAATTACTACTACTACTACTATAATGAGCTAAAAATTAAACACTTGCCGAGGGGAGACCTGGCATGTAGTTAAACACTTGTCGAGAGTGGACCCGGTATCTTGTTCAACACTTACCGAGGAAGGACCCGGTACGTGGTTCAACACTCACAGCTTGCGAGGGTAGAGGTTATGTTGGAGATGAAGTGAGGTTGTGCCGCTATATATATAGTGGTGCTCATTGTTTTTCTCTCACGTCACGCCTAATACAATGTAAAGTCTGTCCTGACATTCTCAGAAACAACTCCCCTGCTCCGCCTACCACCTTGGGAAACCCTGCTATGCTGGGGAATCCACACATTCTCCATCTCCACAATCCACCCAAATTTTAATGTAGTAATAATTTTTTTCTTGTAACTTTGACTGGTCAGTATAAACACGGTGTTGCTTCTTACAAGTCGGCATTCGGTCAACGACAGTAAGTGTTTGGACGGTGTCTCTTTATTCCTATTCCAGCTTCTATCCTGCCATCATTCCACTTCCAAGTGCTATATCATAATGCTGGCTTAGCGCTTTCTCCAAGCAATTACCTTGCACCTTTGTCCCTTAACATGAAAATCCTTGTATACAAAATAGGATATTTGTTTAAAATCATATTCATCTGTTTAATTGTTTGTAATGATATATTAGTGCAGTGGGTGTAGTTTGCTAAATGAACACAAATCTTTGTGTGGGTTTTACATCAGCTCATAGTCTCCGACTTTTCACCCCCCCCCCCCCCATTACCAAAAGGTTCCCCTCCCAAGCCCTACTGTGGAGTCCCCAAAGAGACCTTCCCGGGCCTCCTGCGTCGCCATAGAAACCATTTCGGGCCTCCTGCATCGTCACAGAGACCCTCTCAGGCCCTCTTCGTTGCTACAGAGACCCCCGCACCCCCTGCGTCGCTCTAAAGACAGCCAGGCCCCCCCCCCCTGCGTCGTTACAGAGACCCTTCCGAAATACCTGCGTCACTACAGAGACCCCAATGACCACCTGCGTCACTGCCGATACTTCATGGACCACCTGCATCACTACAAATACCCCATGGACCACCTGCGTCACTACAAAGACCCCATGGACCACCTGCGTCGCTACACAGACCTCATGGACCACCTGTGCCGCTACAGAGACTCCCGTGGACCACCTGTGCCGCTACACAGACCCCATGGACCACCTGCGTCACTACAAAGACCCCATAGACCACCTGCGTCACTACAAAGACCCCATAGACCACCTGCGTAACTACAAAGACCCCATGGAACACCTGCGTCACTACAGAGACCCCATGGACCACCTGAGTCACTACATAGACCCCATGGACCACCTGCGTCACTACATAGACCCCATGAACCACCTGCGTCACTACATAGACCCCATGGACCACCTGCGTCACTACTGAGACCCCCATGGACTACCTGAGTCACTACAGAGACCCCCAAGGACCACCTGCGTCACTACACAGACCCCATGGACCACCTGCGTCACTACAGACACCCCCAAGGACCACCTGCGTCACTACACAGACCGGATGGACCACCTGCGTCACTACACAGACCCCATGGACCACCTGCATCACTACACAGACCCCATGGACAACCTGCGTCACTACACAGACCCCATGGACCACCTGCGTCACTACACAGACCCCATGGACCACCTGCATCACTGCACAGACCCCATGGACCACCTGCGTCACTACAGACACCCCCAAGGACCACCTGCGTCACTACACAGACCGGATGGACCACCTGCGTCACTACACAGACCCCATGGACCACCTGCATCACTACACAGACCCCATGGACCACCTGCGTCACTACAGACACCCCCAAGGACCACCTGCGTCACTACACAGACCGGATGGACCACCTGCGTCACTACACAGACCCCATGGACCACCTGCATCACTACACAGACCCTATGGACCACCTGTGTCACTATACAGACCCCATGTACCACCTGTGTCACTACACAGACCCCATGGACCACCTGTTCACTACAGAAATCCCATGGACCACCTGCGTCGCTACAGATACCCCCATGGACCACCTTCGTCACTACAAAGACCCCATGGACCACCTGCCTCACTACAGAAACCCCATGGACCACCTGCGTCACTACAGAGACCCCATGGACCACCTGCGTCACTACAAAGACCCCATGCACCACCTGCGTCAATACAGAAACCCCATGGACCACCTGCGTCACTACACAGACCCCATGGACCACCTGCATCACTACACAGACCCCATGGACCACCTGTGTCACTACACAGACCCCCATGGACCACCTGCGTCACTACAAAGACCCCATGGACCACCTTCGTCACTAAAAAGACCCCATGGACTACCTGCGTCACTACAGAGACCCCATGGACCACCTGCGTCACTACAAAGACCCCATGGACTACCTGCGTCACTACACAGACCCCATGGAGCAACTGTCACTACAGAAATCCTGTGGAGGGAAACCAATGTCGTCTATGCCTTCAAATGCCCGCTTGGGGACTGTAAGCCTCAAAGAACTCAGTATATAGGCAAGACAACAACATCTCTTTCTAGACGATTAACGATGCATAAGCAACAGAGCTCCAATAAGGAACATATAATCTTTTCCCACAACCAGACCATCACCAGAGAAGTCTTATAAAAAAACACGGAAATCATCGATAGATACAGCGATAGCAGGCGGCTAGATATCTGCGAGGCACTACACATTAAGAAGTCAACACCAGCAATCAACAGCCAATTAATGCACAACTATATTCTACCCACTTCAAGACTCCGCACCAGTATAGAAGCATCAAGAAATATGGGCCAATAGGCCCTTTGCATTTACTTCCATTCTTCCCCTTTAACTTTACCCAATATTACCCAATATTTCGAGTTTTATCTTGTGTTGAAAGTTTGTTTTCACCCCATCCAAAACTGTTGTAACATATCACCTCACCCAAATGCAGGTATAAAAAATGAAAAGCCTTTTGAATTATAGCATAGTAAGAAATCTGTTTAGTATTTGCAGGTTATAGTTGTGTGCGTGTAAACTAAAGTCTTTGAAAATGTAATAGGTTATTATTAAACGTGTACAAGTGTCGCGTCAGACTAGAAATAAAAATGAATTTTGGAGAACGGATTTTTCAATTACCATCGACAGTGAAAAGAAACATAAGAAATATTGAGAAAATTCGTGTTAGAATGATTAATCTTACTTTTTTCAGTCATATTTAATAATATATGTCTACAGGAACCGGTACCTTGTCAAGCACAAGACGAAGCTGGAAAAAGTCCAAAGGTATGCCACTAAACTAGTCCCAGAACTAAGAGGCATGAGTTACGAGGAAAGGCTGCGGGAAATACACCTTACGACACTGGAAGACAGAAGAGTAAGGGGAGACATGATCACAACCTACAAAATCCTCAGAGGAATCAACCTGGTAAACAAGGTTAAACTATTCAACCCTGGTGGGACGCGAACAAGGGGACACAGGTGGAAACTGAGTACTCACATGAGCCACAAAGACGTTAGAAGGAACTTTTTCAGTGTCAGAGTAGTTAACGGATGGAAGCATTAGGTAGTGATGTGGTGAAGGCTGACTCCATACACAGTTTAAAATGGAGATATGAAAGAGTCCAGTAGGCTCAGGAATCTGTACACCAGTTGAGAGGCGGGACCAAAGAGCCAAAGCAACCTCCGCAAGCACAAATAGGTGAGTACACACACACACACACACATTCATACATACATATATATATATATATATATATATATATATATATATATATATATATATATATATATATATATATATATATATATATATATATATATACATATATATATATATATGTCGTACCTAGTAGCCAGAATGCACTTCTCGGCCTACTATGCAAGGCCCAATTTGCCTAATAAGCCACGTTTTCCTGAATTAATATATTTTCTCAATTATTTTTCTTATGAAATGATAAAGCTACCCATTTCATTATGTATGAGGTCAATTTTTTTTATTAGAGTTAAAATTAACGTAGATATATGACCGAACCTTACCAACCCTATCTAACCTAACCTAACCTATCTCTATAGGTTAGGTTAGGTTAGGTAGCCGAAAAAGTTAGTTTAGGTTAGGTTAGATAGGTTAGGTAGTCGAAAAACAATTAATTCGTGAAAAATTGTCTTATTAGGCAAATTGGGCCTAGCATAGTAGGCTGAGAAGTGCGTTCTGGCTACTAGGTACGACAAATATATATATATATATATATATATATATATATATATATATATATATATATATATATATATATATATATATATATATATATAATGTCGTACCTAGTAGCCAGAATGCACTTCTCAGCCTACTATACATGGCCAGATTTGCCTAATAAGCCAAGTTTTCCTGAATTAATATATTTTCTATATTTTTTTTCTTATGAAATGATAAAGCTATCCATTTCATTATGTATGAGGTCAATTTTTTTTATTGGAGTTAAGATTAACGTAGATATATGACCGAACCTAACCAACCCTACCTAACCTAACCTATCTTTATAGGTTAGGTTAGGTTAGGTAGCCGAAAAAGTTAGGTTAGGTTAGGTTAGGTAGTCGAAAAACAATTCATGAAAACTTGGCTTATTAGGCAAATCGGGCCTTGCATAGTAGGCCAAGAAGTGCGTTCTGGCTACTAGGTACGACATATATATATATATATATATATATATATATATATATATATATATATATATATATATATATATATATATGTGTGTATATCACGAAAATAAACACGTGATTAAGAATGTGACAATGTCAGACCACGGAGGAAAAATGAAACAGGAAATTTCCTTAAGTACTTTCGTATATTAAATACATCTTCAGAAGGTCATTTTACAGATCGAGTGATGGGTATAAATAGGCAGGAGAGAGTGGTGAAGTAAGGTGAGGTACAATACTTGGACAACGCAGAAGGCCCATTGGCCCATCAGATGCACCCAATTAGCCCATCCGATGTAGCCCAATGGCCCATCTGATACAGCAGACATACAAGCATAATACATAGGTAATTATAACATAAAGAGGTAAATATATACAATAAATTAGTGAGACAAATGTTTTTCAATGATTCTACTTAAATCGCCCTTTAGCTGATCTATTAGAAATGGATCTAAGTTATATAGAC